GTTGGTAAGCTCTCTTTTTTTTCATAAATTCCTGTAAAGTCTCCCTGTTAAGCCAGGCCGGCCAGCTTCCCCGCCACACCGGGACAGCCTGTTTCTGCACCTTAAATACTTCCTTCTTGAAGAGTGGCCATCCCTCCAGGACCCTGTGCCCCAAACGGCCTCCAACCACCACATCTTCCACCTGTCCTTCTCTATTTGCACACAGCAGGTCTAGCAGGGCCCCACCCGTGATAGGCTCATCTACCAGCTGGAGTAGAAAATTATCCTCTATGCACTCAAAGAAGCTCTTGGACTGCCTTTTCTCTGCTGTATTAAATTTCCAGCAGACATCCAGCAGGTTAAAGTCAGCCACAAGAACAAGGGCTGGTGATTTAGAGACATCTGCCAGCTGCCTGTAGAATAAAACATCACCCTCATCGTCCTGATTGGGTGGTCTGTAACAGACTCCCACCAAGATGTCAGCCTTGTTGGCCTTCCCCCCGATTCTGATCCACAGGCACTCAGCCTTGTTGTTACTGACCTCAAAGAGTCGTAGAAACTCTGGAAAGCGTGGAAAGAGTAGTAGAAACATTAAGCATTTGTGCCTTTATATGGAAGAGTTTCTAGATAATGTAATTGGCTTTAGACTTGGACAAAGCCCAGTTAATGTGCTGGATAAGAACCTCCTGCTATGTGCTGGCAGTCTCTAGTGTGCTTGGTTGGCTAATGTTAGCAACCTTTTTCAGTTAGTTGTAATCAGTTGCACCAGTTTCTGTAAGAACTGCAAATATTTTCTCACTATGTGGCAATAGGTGCCTTAATTAAAAAAACCTGATACCGGCAATCATTGTAGGAATGTTTCTGTGCAAAGCCTCTCTGTATTTTGTCTACAAGTGCACAAATTGTGTTGTTTTCCTTCCTTCTTCCAGGAAAGAATAATCTCCTCAGATGAGGAAATCCATCTTGTTCTTCTAGAGTTAAATCCTCTCCTTTGAGAATAGAGGCAATATCTTACTTGTCTCATCCACTTTTTCTTAGCTTTTTTCCACTGAATTTGGGAAGAAATCACTGCCTTCTCACTGGGCTGGAGCACCTCTCTTATGAAGACAGGCTGAGAGACTTGTCCAGCCTGGAGAAGAGGAGGCTCCAGGGAGACCTTAGAGCACCTTCTAGTACCTAAAGGGGCTACAGGAGAGCTGGAGAGGGACTTTGGACAAGGGCATGGACTGATAGGATGGGGCAATGGCTTCAAACTGACAGAGGGCAGGTTTAGATTATTTATATTAGATATTAGGAAGAAATTTTTGACAGTGAGGGTGGTGAGGCACTGGCACAGGTTGCCTGGAGAAGCTGTGACTGCCCCATCCCTGGCAGTGTTCAAGGCCAGGTTGGATGTGTCTTTGAGCAACCTGGTCTAGTGGAAGGTGTCCCTGCCCATGGCGGGGGGTTGAAACCAGATGGTCTTTAATGTCCATTCCAACCTAAACCATTCTATGACAAGCACATAAAGTTACATTCATAGTGTGCATGAAGTACAAGTTCTGCCAAATACAACATTAAGATGTTAATTGAGTCTTTATGAGGAGAGTTAGGTTCCCATGAGTCTGGAAAATTAAATTCAGTCTTAATTCATAATAAGTGTGTGATATGCTGGAAAAGTGGTGTTACGATTTATGAGGTTTTTTATTTTGCAAAATTTCAATGAAAAACTAGATCTAGTTAATGATTATACTTACCTATCTGAAATAATGAAAGTAATTTGATCTGAAACTATCTTTATTGCTTCAACAGGATCTCCAGCAGAGCTGTCTCCTGGTACTGTTTCTCCAGTTAATCATAGCTTGGGTATGCTGGAAATACTTTTAATTGGTTTTGTGTGTAATGACTCTTCTTTATATATATATTTAAAACATTAAAAATGGAAATGTACTAAAAAAAATTCAGAAATGTATTAGGAGGAGACTATTGGGTTGGCTTCCAGATTATAAACATATAATAGGGCTGGGTTAATAACTTGTTAACTACTACTCTGTTAAATGTTGAGTTCCTAGCAAAAAGATTATGGTTGTGTGTGCAGGACTAGCATTTATAAAATAAATAATTTAAAGGATGGCAGCCAATCCCCAGACTTGCTGACTCCCTTGTATATGTGTTCTGCTGCTTTTCTCATGTACTGTTTCACCTCCAACTGCAACACAATTGTTGCTCCCACATTAGTTGCCCACCTGCTTCGATCAAATGCCATTACTGTTTATCTGTATAAATGACTCAGGAAGATCAGATTCCCCTGGGTTTGTTTAAGGAATGGTGACAGAAAAATGGTGTTCAGAATGCTAAGTAATTAGGGTAAGTAAAAAGGGGAAGCAGCTCAGGAGAAGCTGAAGATGCATGGGGAAGATACTGAGCTCTCATAGGGGAGAGTAAAAGGAGCTTAGAACTGCTTTTAGATAAAGAGACAGTATAAGATCTAGTGTAATACAAGGAAATATCATTTTCATATTAATATTGTTTTCCTTTGTGTGGTTCAGTGTTTGATAGTTTAATCTTTTCTTTAACATTGCTAAAATATTTGCAAGTTAGAGGAAAGCAACAGAAATGCCTAATATCTCGCACTCACAGAAGCATTAGCTTTATCATTTTCCCAAGCAAAATGCAAGTATCGAACTAAACAAACTGTGGTCAGATTAGATCACCCCTTCTTCCCCTCCTCCTTCCCTTGTGATTGAATTCAATTCTGTTTACTGGGGTAGGTAAAAATTGCAGCAAGCAAAATATAATTCCAGGAGACTACCACTGTCATTTCTGGGAGAGGCAAATAGCAGGGCAAATAGATTTATTTTCAGCCTCAAATTCTGTATTAAGCTTGGTTTTTAATATTTTTTTTTAGACTTGCAGCCAGTTACTTACTCAGAGCCTGCGTTTTGGTGTTCAATAGCATATTATGAATTGAATCAAAGAGTGGGAGAAACCTTCCATGCATCCCAGCCTTCGCTGACCGTAGATGGCTTTACAGATCCATCAAATTCAGAACGATTTTGTCTAGGTTTGCTTTCCAACGTAAACAGAAATGCTACAGTGGAAATGACAAGACGACACATAGGTAAAGATCTCTGATCTTTAAATATTTAATTTAATTTTATACATTAAATTATCTGAAATGATCCAGGTAGGATGGGCAGATCTGTGTGTTGGGTTCCTTTCACCCTTGTACAGCCAGGCATAGAACTTCTCTCCTGGGACTTGTCAAGGAGAGCTTAGACTCTCTTGCTAAGGACAGAAGTGGAAAGACAGAGAAGTCACTGCTTCTGAAATTGGGGAGAAATATAGCAGCTTCTGTTACTATAGCCAGTTGCAATTGGGAAGAGATGTAGTGATAGCTAGAGCTGAAAGGAGCTGCCTTTCCTCAATCAGTAGTCACTAAGCTGGTGGCAGCAACAGTCACACAGTTGACAGGCTGCAAGCAACACAGGAGGAAGCCACTCAACTGTATGGGATTTCTGTTGCTCATGTTGCTGTTGTCTGCCTTCTGGACAAAGATGACACACCAAAGTATCCCAAGGGGCAGATTTTTGGCTTTCAGGCTCCTCGTTGGACTGTTCTGCCCTAGGTAGCATTTATATTCAGAGTTCCTTATAATTGAAATTTAAGCTTTAATTATAAAAATTAGCATGTTGCTTAGTTTATTCTAATTTATAAAATGCAGAATGGACATTGGTAGTACTTCTTGAATGCTTTTCTGAAATGGGAAAAGCTGCAGTTGAGATCCTGTTTTGACATGATTTTCTTTGTAATAGTTAGTAAAGAATATTGTTTTCCACAGGACAGTGTCTTGGCTTTAGGTTCTTCAATAAAGTACCTTTTTTTTCCCCTGGATTCTTTTATTTTGCAATATTGATGAGGTTTTTTGGTTTTATTTTAGTAAAAAATTCAGCCTCTTTAGTAGAACCTTCTAATTCTCTCTATGCCAAATCCAAATGCTTGTCTAATAAAATTTTAGATGTGCAGAAGCCCAGGCTATGCCTGTGCTGACTGATCAAAATGATCAATGATGAGGAAAAGCAAAAATGTAAGGAGCTCTCACTTTTTTTAATAGATCAGCTCACATTTGTTTGAAAAATTGTTTTAAAGAAGAAGGGGAATACAAACTGTGGCCTTTAAAGAACCTGTTAATTATAAAAAGTTTTCTTTGAGAGATCAATTGTACATTACTTATCTTCTGCTAAAAATAACCTACACAGATTTTTTTTCCACTCAGAGAGAACATCACAATTTAAAAGCGAACAATAGGATTTCTTATGGGTAATTTTTTTTAATAGGGCTAAATTCATTCCTGTTGGCTTTGTTAAAGTAGTATAGAGAAGGGGTATGCAATGGGTTGTGAAATAGTGTGGATACATGTAAGTGGAGAGTGTTGAAGTGGTACACTGTTTTCCTTTCTTGCCATAGTGACCTGTGCTGCTTCACATATAATGTTTTAATACTAGCACAAGTTTTAATTCTGCTGAATCTAATCTTTTTGTTTCAATTTTGGTATTTCTTTAAGTGAAAAAGTTATTTGGTAATGAACACTGCTTTCTAACTTGAATTTGGTTGCAAGCCATTACATGGCTAGAAAATTCTATCTCACTCTTGACCAAAAATGATTCTGCTTGTCCTTCAAATATTGTGTGTTCATGGGAGAAAAATGCAAGTTAATTGTGTTCTGCTCCTGCTACAGCTGTCAGCCCAGCAGTGTGGTCCTGTAAATAACTGATTTCTGTTTCTGTTGTAAAGAAAAACATTGGCCTTCTCTGAAACAAAATACTCTCTTGTTTGTTTATCTGCTTGGGTCATATCATAACTAGAATTCCTTTGAATTCTGCTACAGGAAGGGGAGTACGTCTCTATTACATTGGTGGAGAAGTTTTTGCTGAGTGCTTAAGTGATAGCGCGATTTTTGTTCAGAGTCCCAACTGTAATCAAAGATATGGCTGGCATCCTGCAACTGTGTGCAAAATTCCACCAGGTTAGTAGCCTACCAAAGGTCTTGTGTAAAAATATTTGGTGAATGTATTCACTGGACATTTGCTTTGCTTTTCATAGTTTCCTCATAGTTTTGGGCTTCTATGTAGCAAACACAAGTATTCATTGATTGTACTCTTTGGACTTTTTTTCTTTATAGGATGCAATCTAAAAATCTTTAATAATCAAGAATTTGCTGCTCTTCTGGCTCAGTCTGTGAATCAGGGTTTTGAAGCAGTTTATCAGCTTACTAGAATGTGTACCATAAGAATGAGTTTTGTTAAAGGATGGGGAGCTGAATATAGGTAAGAAACTTTTGCTTTTGATTTTAGAGTTAATTTTTCTTCTTTCACTAATACACTATTTCTGTCTGGTTTGAAAGCCATACATACAGGCTTCTTACTGCTATTGTAGATATGCTGTCTGCAAGTTGAACCCATATTTTCCTTTTTCTCCTCCATCACCTATGGAGCTTCTAAGTTATAAAGACCAGAAACTGATTTTAGTACTGCAGTCAGTTGTTGAGCAAGGAATGTCATCAAAGTTCTGTTTCCTTGCTTGGTCCTGCTTGCTTACTTCTTATGACAAAATCACTGACAACATCTAGAAGTTTCACAGTTTTTGCTGCAAGATTATTTGCTGTTTGTTGGATGTACACTCATTTTGGTCTTTATCCTGTTCTGTGTGGAGTATAATGAGTGCAATTGAATGCAGTTGATAGTATCCGACAGAAAGAATTGGAGTCATTTGGAGTGCATTCTGCAGAATGAAACAGCTGGAGAACATGCATTTAAGGGATGGCAAATATTTCGGAACTTGTAGTGGAAAAAACTTTGCAGAAGTAAGATGACTGTGTTTATGTAGTAAAACTGCTAAAACCAAGTTTCTGAGTGGAAAAAATAGCCTTTTATCTGCTTTTTAAATAGATTCTAATTGTATTCTTTATTTAAACAAATCCCTTAAATCTCTCTAGAAATTGTCCACCAGAAGAATGAAATCTGACATATCAGTACCCTATTGCAATACATAATGATTTGTTTTTAAATCCATATAATTTCTGAAGTTGAATAATGGTGTGTAGGTTCCACTGTGAATCCTGGAGGTTTGTTTCTTTTATCTGCTCTCCAAATATATACATGTAAATAGTAGCATCAGTATGTGAGGGGGGTTTCTTGGCTAAATGAAGCCAATTTTGTAAAAGTCTAATTAGATGAAATGACAAATTTGAGTAATGGAATAAATCAGCTCCTCTTTGTTAGCAAGACATACACAAGAAAGAATCTGGCTCAAGTTTAAAGAACTATTGGATTTGGCTCAAAAGAAGTATGTATATACACTTACACATAATTAAATACAACATTCAAATAAGAACAAAAGAAAGGCTTAATCAATCAGATGATATGGAGACAAGTTGAAATGAATGGAATGTAAGCACCAAATTAAAATAATGGGAAGCTTTTGATAAAGTTGTTTCTAAGGGGGGAGAATGCTGGTTATTAGTAGTCTATAAACCATTTGGACATCATAGGATTGAAAAAGCAGCAATGCAACCACTGCCAGAACAGCACAGAAACTGATTACTGGCATAATCCTGAACTAGTTTCTTTGCATCTCTGTTTAAGATGATGCTAATAATTTATTGATGCACAAAACTTGTAAGTTATGCTGCAGTTGTGATTAAAGCAAGAAGTGGTTGCTCCTGCAAACACAACCTTGAATTTAAATGAATGTAGTCTGAATTATCAAAATAGACCAGGAAGCACTGTAAAATTCATCATTCTTGTTAAAACTTCTGAGCTTCATCATTATGTCAAAAAGGTTTCTCATAGAACAGGCTTGGGCAAAGCCAAAGCATTATTTATATTTTATGCATATGTGCATAAATGCACAGGTATGGCAAGGTGGTACATTTTATTTATTTACCAAGCTTATAAGATTGGTAGACAAAATAGTTTAAAGCATTTTGCTCATACATGTTGTCTCGAATTGAGGATGGTGGTAGAAGTTCAGATCAGCAGTCAAGTGTTCACGTTATCACAGGAACTATCCAGGTCTAGAGTAATCTGAAGAGAGTTCAGTAGAGGTAATTACAGCAAACAGACTTAGTGATAGGTGAACTCGAAATCCGTGAATAGAAGAGGCCGAGTTTTAGCTTTGAAATGGCCATTAAGCAACTGTCGCTATTTTATCAGCTTCTGTCAGTGTAGTGCAAAGCCAGGGTTGTTGAACAGAACCAGTTATAAAATTTTGAGGACATATGTTGTAGAACACATTGTAGGAGAATTAACAGCGTTGGAATAATGAACTTTCTTCTTTGGGAGAGTATTCGAGACTAAATGGCATTATATTTCCTGTGGTTGAGATTGTTCTTCTATTGGATCACTGTTTTGGCATAGGCATTTGGGGCTATGATAACAATGTTTCAGAAAGTGCTGAGAGTGCACAGACCCCAGCGGCTTTCTTCTAGAAAATGTGAAACCACAGACAGCTTTGGAAATTCATCTTTTCACTGGCTTGATCATTCTGTCTTTTCGTTTCCTCTGTTTAATATGAAGAGATTTCCTTAAAGCCAAGGGGTGCAGTGCCAACAGTAAAAATGAAGGGGCTGGGTTTGTGTCTGACTAATCTGCTGTCTTTGAATCTTCTTGCTTTGACTATGGGATAGCTAGAATTACTAGGAAAAACTGGCTTTGCAATAGTAGTTTTGCCAGTCTAGTTTGGGAAATCTTTCATGCCTGGAGTAGGTACAGTGAAATAACAGGATTTCTCAGGCAGAGCATGTCCACTGCCGCGATGGAGAGACGGGACG